TACTGGGAACAAAGGGCATCGCTACTAGGAGCAAGGACGCTACGAACAGGCCTCCTGGCCAAGTGTTTGAGTCAAGTCGCACCATTGAAGAGGGAGTTGAACACAATCGGGTCCTGAATGCCACACCTTTGCAGCTTGTCGGATCTGGCTCAGCCGTGGATATGTGGTCAGCTCCAGTTACAACATGCATGTACATTCTGAGGCACCTTGTTACTAGTAGCTTCTTGTTACTACTAGTAATGCCCTTAGCTACTAGTAGCTTCTTGCTACTAGTAATATTGGCCTCCAACCTACTAGCTTCTTGCTACTAGTGGTCATGCGCCTTGTTACTAGCAGCGATTGTTACTAGTAGCTTCTTCCTGATGAATCACAGGCTTACAGGCTTCGCGAATACTACCCACGACGCCGCCGAGCCCAATTTTTTTTATCGGCGAAAATGTCACTGGGTGATTGTTTCATTCGGCGAAAACGTCTTCTGATCAACAGTGATGCTGCTCCTCTACCCCGTGCAAAGGTTAGGTGCAGGCCATTTCATAGCCTATAGGGTGATACAACATGATACAACTTGATACAATTGTTCAAAAGGCATTCCATGTTTCTTCGGGACCACTTTCAGACTTCAGGTTGTGCGCCTCAGGCAGTTGAGACTCACGAGGGGTGCCGGCGACTGCTCTTGCTATCCACCTCACCTCCCTCTTCTTCTGCGGAATACTATTCTTTTGCAACGCAAAACAATATCGGGCCAAACCGATAAATAGGGAGCATTACACACAGTTCAGCCAATATTCTTGGGAGTAGGAGGAAAATACAGGGGCCAGAAACAGGGATCTTGTGACTTCATGTTCCTGCGATCAAACCTTCTAGCCATCTTCCCTTCCAGGCTAAACACTCTTTGAAGATTGCAGAGGCATAGCCCAGAAAAGCATTCACGCCAGTAGTCTGCTGGCAAATCACCAAGGTACCTTAATGGCCACTGCGCAGCATCAACACAAAGCACTCAGCACACCGGGCTGCTGCTAAGCACACTCTGCGCTGCTAAACACTCAGCAATTGCACATCCGATTAACCTTTCCACAGCCGAAATTGAACCTTGGAACCCTGCAGCGTTTGTGCTTGCCAACTGTATGTGCTGCTCCCACGTACATCGGGACTCTTAAACGTTGTCCGCAACAAATAACATTCAGGGACTCAAAAGGCTAGTGCTTGCCAGGGGTCATGCGATGCCGTCGTAAACATTTCTATAGGACTGGTCACAATCAGTTGCTTCGACACCCAATTGATGCCCCTTGTTCCGATTCCTTTCGGGTGAAGGTCTTCCCTAAAGATCTAGAAACCTGAATAGTGCCTCCTTGATGAATCCTTGAAGAAACATGAGCCTTCCTGCATGGTTACTGAGTGAGCTAGCCTGCCCTTACTTAATTCAGTAGCACAACGTCAACGCAAAGTAAACGCCAGGCTCGACGCAACAAATCCCAGCAGCAAGCAATCAAGACGCGCTTCCGCAGGTTACCTCGGCGTTTCTGAACGCAGCACAAGTCCTCTGCATGGTCCACTGACATGCGCACACATGTGTAACAAATTCAATCTCAGATTCATTCTTCCTACTTGGCTAAAGTGCTCCCACTGGCCGAAATCAAGAATGGATTGAATTGGGTTCATCATCTCATACACGCCCATAAGTGCTCCCCCGGAAGAAAGCTGAAAACCATTTGAGAGCCCCAATGAGACAGTCAACGTTGGAGAACTCTTTCCTCAACCTTCTCCCTCGGCCTGGTGATGGCAACGGCAGCAACAAATGAGTCTGGGTTCAAACAATCTTGGACAGAGGTTTACTTATCAACGAAGCATGAACATACAGCCATAATTCCGCCCGCACCGAAGGTGCTGAGTCAGGAGGGCGTTGTGGCGGCTCTGGGCAATCGCAAGAGTCGCAAGAAATCTGTTAGATTAAATCTTAGTGCTTTCTAAAATGGTGATGTGGCGATGCCAGTTATGCCGGCCGGGAGAGATCGCCCTATCGACATCGCGGGGCGTATGTGCAAGCCAGGCCGAGACATACGCACCAAGACAGGCCGAGACCGAGACAGACACACTGAGACAGAACCCTCAGTGAAGGGGCTCATAATTAGATAGGGCTAATAGCGAAACGCTCCTTCACGCTTGAGCCCGGTTAACATTTCCTCCCGGCTCCGAGAGCACAAGTTGCTAGTTCCCGGCTCCGCGAGCGCAGGTTGCTGCCAAGCCGGTAGGGTGCTAATGACACACTATTCCCATGTATGTCTGGATGTATGTTTGCATGTATGCATGTCTGTATGCATGGATGGATGTCTGTATGTGTGCGTCTGTTTTCCGTCTACTCTGTGCGGGCGGCTTCGACCGCGAAGCGGTGTGAATATTTTTGGAGCGCCCGTGTAGATTTAGTGAATTTAGTGTCCCCAACAACTTCAAGAGGCATCGAGCCGAAACAACGAAACATACTTTTAAAAAACAAAAACATATCGATATTAGGTTGGAGGCCATCGCTATTAGGAGCAAGGACGCTACGAACGGGGCTCCTGGCCTTACTACTAGGAGCGATCGGACGCTACGAACGGAACAAAGGGCATCGGACCCCGAACGGAGCGATCGGACTACGAACGGAGGCCATCGCTAGGTCTCACAGCCTCGTCCCCATTCACAGTCGAGTCAAGGGGACGCTCACGGAACAGACCAGTGAAGCTCACATGTTCGATGTCCCTCTCTTCCTTCACCTGCTCCAGAATCCTTGGCGTTGGCACGGCTGAAGGAATAGACACATATGAGAACATTGTAACATTCCCTTTCTCCTAAAGATTCACGTGTTTTTTACTTGCTCTTTCTTTCCTTTGTGATTCTACTTTTGTCAGCAGTCCAAGTAGAACTGGTTGGCCATATCTGGGGCAGTCGGGCCCTACGATTCTATCTTTATACCCTCTTGGACCTCTTGGTCCTTGAGAGTCATCCGGAATCCGTCCGGAAAAGGAACAGGGCACATATCTGTTTGATACAGAACATAGTAGAGGACATTTCATGGACTGTCACTGTACAATCTATACTATATTGCATGGGAATCTCATAACCCCTTTGGTCGGACCGGACGTGCAAAATCCCTCAGACGGAGGTCTTTTTGACGAATCCTGCAGATCTTCCTTGGGCAAACAAGGTAGGGGCCTCTAGTTGGGCAGACTCAACCCGAGCTCCGCCTATCTCCGTCATCTCATGGAACTTTCCTTCAAACTACAACACACTGGTGAAGAACATGACATTGCTAGATACAAAGAAACATCCCACACATCACGCTGGTGAAGTCGACCACTCGTGTTCGATCCACTCGTGTTCGACCGTCGACCGTCGACCGGGTGCCGAGGTGCTCGCCCGCTTCGGGTCGCGCATCGCCAGATCTGAGACCTGGACCCGGATCCCGTCTCGCTCCGTAAGGCCAGCCCCGAGTGAGTGGCGAAGCTTGCTAAAAGAGAAAAGGATCCAAAGGATGCAAAGGATCCCAAAAAGGACCTTAAAGGAACCAACTTGTGGCAGGTTGCTGGAGCAGACCTGAACCGACCATAGTCAGAACAGAAAGGTCTCGAGAAAAAAACATGTCTAAAGAACAAAGGCAATATCGAAAGAACGAAGGGTCTAAAGTCTATAGTAAGAAGCGAAAAAAGGTCTTGATTCAAACACAGAAAGCAATAACTGGAAGAATACGACATAACACAAAAGAAAGTCAGTCAGGTCTAAAGAAAACATGAACATATGCAACATGTCTAAAGAATGAAAGAAAAGCAAATAAACGGTCTGCAAAAAAGAAAAACGAGAAAACCTAAAGAAAAAATACAACAAAGGAAGAACAGTCCAAAGAAAAAAGGAAGGAAAACCAGGTCAAAGGAAAACAAAAAACAAAACAAGGAAGAACAGCCTGAAGAAACTCATAAAATAGAAGCAAATCCTAAACAAAAACACTCGCCTAAAGAAACACAAGAAAAACCTGCCTGTCCAACGAAAGCACAAACACAAAGGCCTAAGTCAAACCCTAGAAGAACAAATGACAAATCGTTCAAAGAAACACAACACAAAAAAGGAACTACATAATAAAGGAAAATATTGTCAACATAGACAAAACAAATCAAGGTCCACAGAAAAACAAAAAAGGTCTAAAGAAAAAACACAGAGAAGAACGATCTGAGGAAGAACAAACCAGAAGGAAGGTTTTAAGGAAACAGATAAAGGATTTAAATGATCCAACAAACGGGGATGTGCAGGATGCTTTTGATTCAAGTGATTGTTTGATGTGCTTGCTTAATGTAGATAGGCTTATCACTTCTCATCACTGGTCTCCCCCTTGTCTGTGAGGCTTTTGTCACGCTTGTGTTCATCCGCGCTTTATGTCCAAAGTTTGACCAAATCGTTCATCTCCCAACAGAATGTGAAGAATGTCTCGTTGAGGCAGCCAAGGAGCGTGTCAAATACCTGCGAGCCAAGGTAAGCACGCAGAAACCGCCTCTTCAAACATGTTTTGAACATAAAACATAACATCATTTTTGGCGCATGCGAAGGCCACATTCTTTGGCAAAGGAGAACACAGCACTCCTGCTGGGATCGTATCCCTACTCCAGACTCTAGAAAAAGGACTACTAATAGTAGATTGAAACTTCTAGAGGCAGAAAAACAAGAACGCCGCCTATGGAGCAAGGACGCTACGAGCGGGGCTCCTGGCCATACTACTAGGAGCAAGAAGCTACATTCGGGGCTCCTGGCCATACTACTAGGAGCGATCGGACGCTCTTAGGATGCTCCAAAAGTTCCCTTTCCTTGTCCGTACTTACGCCCTCCAGACCGCTCCAGACTCTCGGTCTGGATCTGATCACCCACGGACGCAGCTCATCCGCGAAGACACTCCGCCAGCTCCGCCACCGCGCCTCATGCCAGCATTCATGGCGGCCTCCGTTCCCTCCCTGTGAATCGTCTTTTCCATGACCTGCAGTGCAAGACATCGGATCCCAAGCTTGGGGTACTTGGGGAGAAACATGTACCTGTGTTCACGAAAGGAGAGACCTACCAAAATTGGGAGAATTGGCCCTACTTCATGATGGAGCTTCTTATGAATCTTGTGAAAGTATATAAGAGGCTCTATATATTCAGTCAAACCAGGCTTTTCCATTGCAGTCGCCAAGTAGATCTTGACCAGAACCTATTTGGTTAGGTTCAAGTGTAACACCCCAAGCCTAGCAAAGCCTAGACTCCACCGCATAGACGCTCACCGCGCTATGAACCCGCCAAGGACGCTCTCCTTCCTGCCCTCTAGCCCTTCTGAGCCCCGGCGAATCGAGGAGACTCGGGGATAAAAAAGCCACCGATGGCTAGCCTAAGGCGGGCCGACAGGAGAGCCGCGCGCAATTCGGACACGTACAGCATGTATGGCATGCTGGTGAATGGGTGGGTACCGGACTGCATCAATGGAAGGACATGTTGTGAGTGTTTCACTTATTCTCAACTCAAAGCTAGGTGTTACAAGATCTGTACATGGGAACGAAAACAAGTGCAAACATGTTCCTAGTAGCGATGCCAGGAGCCCCGTTCGTAGCGATGCCCGAAATGCTCCCTTCTTAGCGATGCCCTAACGCCTGTCAAGTGGCACAGCACCGGCAAAGCCGGGTAGCATCATGCAAACATACCAATCCTGCAGGGGTTACAAGTGTCTGATGGCCCAGCACCCTATTTGTGCCAAGCAATGTTCGCTTGCCAAACCCGTGAACAACAAGTACACATCCAAAATGCGGTCATAACATGTCATAACCCGGACATAACCCTCCCATGTGTCCTCCCGCTCACAACCCTCATGTCAAGCTCTCTCTCTCTCTCTTTCCACATGAGGTCGCAAGGTTCGATCCTGTCGCCTGCGTCTCGACGTGCGTCTCTGCTTGACAGTCCTGGTCCACGAAGGTCACGATGATAGAGATGAAGCATCCAACCACCACGTTCCTTGGCCACCATCTGTCCAGGAACGTTTGCTTATTTACCTACTTGAACTGTCTTGAACTTGTATACTTGATTATACTTGTTACTTGTCTGACTGGTCATTCTCCCTTTGGGATTGTCACACATGTTGCTCGCCTTTGAGCCAAGCTTTCTGGAGATCATCTACTTTTTGTGACGGCAATTAACAACTATTAACATCTCCCGTCTAGTGCTGATTATGATCTGTGGCCCACTCTTTGTGCGTTGCTTCACTGTCAGTCTGTCAGTGGCAGACTGGGACTGAGCATGTGCTACACACATCTCTGCCTCCAGGTTTCAGCTGGAACAAAGAGCCTGTTGCACCTGGTGAGGAGGGGAAGGGACATGCGACGTGCTCAGGTTCGATGCTCGGGTTCGCATGTCCCAGCACCTGCGCAGGACGTCCCCCGCCTTACCCCAGTCTCAGCCCTTGGATCGGACGTGTCTGACGAGTCCTACGAGGACATCCGGGAACCCGAAACGCAGCAGCCAGGTGTTCATCCGTTCCCTTCGCCTTTGCCGTCCCCTCTTGTGAATCAATTCATCCGTTCCCGCCTTTGCAAAAACACACGACTGCCAGTTCTAACACCCCGCCTCGGATAGAAGACGTCGAGACCCTCGGCCGACAGTAGGGAGGGCGCGTTGCTTGACACCGACATCACTCATTCGACATGAAAACCAGACTGCTGCTTCTGGCGCCATCGAAGCACAGTCCGTTCTTTCGCCATCGAATTCTAAAAACAAACATGTGATGCCGCTTCTATCATCGGGGCCGGGAATTCTCCGTATCCACCCACAGTATGCCACAGTGTTCATTCTTTAAAGTATCAATGAAGCCTTTGTACACCTGCATGTCGTCTGAGATGTCTATAAGTACCAATGGAGATGCCGCTTCTCCGCTCGCCCTTGGCCTTGCGCCGAGCCACTCGGCGTTGTACATCGGCAGGGCGAAGCAACTCACACCGACGCCAAATCCTGCGAGTCGCACAGCGTGGGCCACTGCGCCACTGCAGACACCGCGGGAGGGATGGACGAACAGGATGGGACGTTGATTCGTTGGACGGTTGGGGTCCCAAGTGGGACGTAGGATGTAAGGGATGTACGGGATGTCCGGTTGGGCATGGTTGGGGGTTTGGTCAACCTCTTGGGATTTGGTCAAAGCCTCAGACGTGCGTACAAAAGAGGCACGTCCACTTGTGTAGTCTCCAATATAGGAACCAGCAAGTGATGCGAATGAAAAGGACCTCACTGAACATCAACAAACGAAATGTTGGAGTATCCTTGAACTGTCTGAGATCTGAGAAGCAATTGATAATAATGCACAGATCCTTCATGAGTCCAAAAGAACATCTCATAAGACTCGAATCGGCCACCATTGCTTCGATGAGCAAGTTCTCTGGATGGATGAGTGGCATCGAACATTCAAGCACAATCAACCAGCACTTGTCCTGTAATGAATCTTCCAATGAAGAATATCACAACACCTGAGGTGGCAAATCTCTTCATCAGTCACACAATATGATGTGACCTTTTTTTGAGGTAGGAAAGCGCTCTGAGGTAGGACATGATGTCCCCCGATCCCCAATTGCAGGGGAAGATGCTGTGAAAAGACGCGTAAGATGCCAGGATGCATCCAAGGAAGCCTTAGCTCCAAGAGCAGCTGGTCGTTTTCCACCCCAGCTCTCATGAATCTGATCATGCTGTCTTTTTTTCACCAAATCGTGCCACCGTTCCATCCTTGTGAACTTTGTTCGCCAGCGGAATCAGGAATCCCAAGTTCGGGCGCGCAGGATGGGGTCTCTCTGCGTTCGTTGAGACCCGAAACATCTGAGGCCTCTGTGAGGTCTCTCGATAGAGGCCTCTCTGCCTTGAGGCCGCTGGGAAGCAGCTCAAGCAGTACACGTGAATCAGTGCCTCCAAGCCACACACAGCTCCACCAACTTGGATGCATGGGCGACGGCCTTGGCCGGTGCGAGGACGCAGACGACCGAGCACTGCGAGGGATGCAAAGCTTTGGGAGACTTGGACATTACATCTTGGGCAACTCACAGCGTCTGAGCTTTTTCACTCCTCAATTTGACTCTCCAACTCCTTAATGAAGAGTATCATATTATGAGTACACAAATTACTAGCAATGGCCTCCAACCTAGAAGAAGCGATGGCCTCCAACCTAGAAGCGATTAAATGAAATGAAATGGAACAAAATCATCGGATGCAAACAATAAGTTCTTGTGGGTTGGCTTCGCTTGGCTTTGCACTTCTTCTCAGAGGATCCTCTCTGATCTATTTGCTATTTGTTTTTAGGTTGCAACCGGCCACTGCACAAACAACATGTGGTTCTACTATGTTTTTATTGGACCTGTCTCCAAACAAAGATACGCCCGATCTGGTTGTCACAAGGAGGTTACTTTCCTTCCAACATCTCGCTGAATATCGATCACACTCCGAGCTGAGCTGATGGCCTAGTTTGTTCGCCCTCAGATGAGTGGATGGAGGGTGGACGTGGGCGAAGGACACATGCCAACGAAGGGTGCAATGATCGGAGGACTTGTACAAGCATTCTGATAAGATCTCACAAGTATCAGCTTGACACAATGGCAGAATCGTCGCGTGTGAGACAAAATGGATGCAGCGTGCCTTCTCCAACAGAACTAGACTATCGAATCAAACATCTGCCAGGAAAACATGTCACTCGTTGAATCATGTGCCAATGATTTCATCAAATGGCCAAGTGTACAACACACGAGACGGAGATAAAGAATTCTACTTAAACAACAATCGCAATCGGAGTCAGTGCTGTATGTATTGTGTTAATAGAGTCTATTTCCACCTTTGTACGGACTTGCTACGGGGAAACTGCATTGACACTGAACTGGCTCTGCCATCTTACTCATCAAAGGCACAGAAACACATGCAAGTGGGATCCAAGGTGGCTGATCAAGTCCTTCTTCACCAACGATTGCGCGAATAAAGCCAGACATTTGTTGAGGGCAACGACGCTGTGCAGACAACGACCCGACGCTGTGCAGATTTTTGCCCCCACGTAGTGATCATCTTTGTGAAAGGACATCTTCATTAGAACAGGTGGAGGCCATCGCTATTAGAAACAGAGAAAAACATGAAATAAGAAAAGGAAGAACGGTTTCATATAGTTACCATCAAAACCAATGCCAGGCTTCAAAGGCGGCCCTGCCAAAATGGCACCAGCTGCAGCCCCAAAGGTGATCAGCGTGGCACCTGTGAGTACGGGGTGTACATCGCATCGATCTGATCGCCAGGATTTGATCATCACTCTAGATAATTGTCTAATTCTCTCTAAAATACCCTATAGAGTCTATAGAGGATCCTTTAGTACACTCATCAATTCCAACGTCGCGTCTCTTCAGCCCACAAATCCACGCCAGTTTCCAGTCTCCCAAAAGAACTGGGCCGATACATCGACGTGCCAAGGAAAGGTCCCAAGGCCAGGCATGCCACCACCGTCCGGTCCTCACTCTGTTCGCCATCGTTCGGTCATGGCGCCCCAAGTGATAAAGTTCTCGTTCCAATTGCCATTCGTGAGATATCTGGGCGTCAGGACTGATGGGAAAACATGCAGAAACCATGAAAAACGCGTAAAGCCTGAAACAGAATGGAGCGATATGGAGGCCCATAGTATGCCGTAGCATACAAAAGGCTTAGGCTTAGCTGCAACTGCCAAAGACCTTGTTGTTGGGGAGAAATTGCGAATCATGCAAAGAGGAGTCTGATTTGGATTCTTTCATATGTTCCAAGCCACAACTGAACAAGAACCTATGGACTTCCTCAGCCATTCCGTCGACTTCCTCAGCAACACCAAACCAGTCCGTCACTCCCGAGCGGTTTGGCCCTTGATCGCCACAGCTTTCAGCATCTCCAAACCTGAGAGCGGGGAACGGGTGTGAATTCAAGAGACAAAATGAGACAAAAACGACACATAAATCCTTTGAAAGGAGTTCTATGTGATCCGTTCTTCCGCTTCTTCTGAAACCGATGCTGGGTTCCTCTTGACATATAGATATATGTCATAGAACCATGGGAGGGGTGGCCAACTGTTGAATGATTCATGAAAGGTGGTGAGAGCACCATGAGGCAATCGCCTGCCAATGCACCATTCATCTCTGAAAGACTTGAACGCCTGGCACCAGAGTATACAGCGACATTGCAAACATGAGTATACAGCGGTGCTGCTTGAGGAGCAATATGTGTCGGTCCTCCGAAAACCACCTGTCATCCTACCAGTGTCCGTTTCGATAGACATACGAATGACATGGTTGTTTCATGCGATGTCAAGGTTGGGACATCCAAGGGAGAATCGTTAAGTCCTCAGCTACGACCTAGCTGCTAGGTCAGCGAATGGTTTCACTGCTTCGACCGGACTTCAGGGCCGTGACCCGACCTGGACATCGCCGAAGTTCCCTTGATCAAAGCCGAACATGGCGGCGCCTGGTTGGGGCCGCGGGCGGGTGACCCCAAACGCGGACACGTCCAACAAATGCCGTGAGCACCCGACTAGGCACAAACACAAAGGTTGGAGATATAGCAATCTCTGGGCTGGACACGGCAAATGGACACCACAATACAAAAACATCTCTGACATCTCCTTTAACGTTCTCTTCATGTTATTGTTTCGGCTCTGCTCTTTTTAGGGGTCCAGCACCAAAACCGTCCTTTCCCACCCTTTATGGGTCCAATGTCAAGCAAAGCAATGACCGGTCTCTTTCGCATTCCCGTCCCTCTTCCGTAGGACAGGTCACTCAAAGCAACACAAGCTGAGCCCCTGCTGAAGGAGTGGAGAGAATGGGTGTGACAAAGGTTTGCTTCCCAGGTCTTTCCAGTATTGTCTCTCAAAAAAACTTTAACAACCTTAACGATGACCTTTATTCCAATGGTCAGGCCCAACAAAACCACATTCAAGAAAGCGTCCATGAAGGTGGTTCACAACTCTTCATCCCTGAAGGCGAAACCAAGTTGTCTAACGTTGCAGGTGTTTTTTTGCGATGTTGGCATTCAGCCAGTGAGATTGGGAGCGCCGCAACAATCTTGCACATTGTATGCAAGGGCTCTTACACATTGAATGGAATGATGTGAACTACAAAGTATCAAGGATAGTTTATGGATCCCTTGATCCCTTCACGTCGCCACATCCCGACGTCGCCATGTTCGCCAAAGTCGCCAACCATGGCCATGCCCACGGCTGAGTACATCTGTGGGCTCGCTCGAACCTGTTGTGGCGACGAATCGGATGCCTTCAAAGAAACTGCGCTTCAAACTTGGACGGTACTTCGACAGTTTGGCAACCATTTGAGTTCCGCTGGAACCACATGAGGGATGGTACTCCTTTTCGGTTTTGGACAGTTATCCCAACCTTGCCCACAACTTCGACACTAGTTTGGACTCAACAAGTGTCTACTTTTCAGTCTGAATTTCTTCTGTATTTCCATGGTATTTTTGAGAGTACGTTCCTTTCAAACAAAGGGGGGAGCCTCGAACTGGACCGTGCCTCCGCATCCTCAGAGACCTCGGCGACTTCAAAGCTGGCCGGGCGCGAGGAAGCCGAAGGCGACGCAGCCTTTGGAAAAGCTGAAGGCAAGGATACATAACTAATGGCAATGGCAATCTACTAGCTAGTCATGGTCTCCAACCTACTAGCGATGGCGTCCAATGTACTAGTGATGGCCTCCAACCTAAGAGCGATGGTCTCCCCTTAGTAGCCATGGCGCTTTGGAGAAGGTCGTGACTTTGAAAAGATCCTTCGGCACCGCAAAGGATGTTGTTCCTAGTGGCGTTCTTGTTACTCGTAGTAAGGCCAGGAGCGCAGCGTCCTTGCTCCGTTCGTAGCGATGCCCTTGTTCCTACGAGTATATAGTATAGTTTCTTGCGTGAAGTATTTGCTTCGACTTAGATGTCGCGCACCTTGAAGCTCTCCGGTGTCGCCTCCCTTGGATCTCTAGGGCTCTCGCAAGCTCACGCGATGATGCCCCTCCAGCCTGGAAAGCGGAACCCCAGCGACTCGGATGGTCTTTCGAAGAGTTCGGTTTTTGGAAGCGGTGTGGTGACAAAGCTCAGGTGACAAGCCCTTGCTGCAAAGAGAATTCGGAAAATCAGAGTGCATCGCTACTAGTAACAAGTGCCACGCTAGTAGTAACAAGTGCCTTACTAGTAGTAACAAGAAGCTACTAGGGGCTCCTGGCCTTACTAGTAGTAACACGTCTCAGCACCGAGCCTTTGGGACGAACCTCATTGACCCACATATGTCTGTAATTTGTCTGTTGGTTGATCCCATCGTGAGCTTGGTTTAGCATCATGTTGTTCTTTTTCGCATTTGAAGTTTGCGATTGCATCGTTGTCATCTTCATCAACAACTTTTATTAAACATATATTATTGTCCTTACAACTATTGGTCAACGAAACAAACAGTATAATAACATTAAAACAATAACGCATGGCAACATTAAATCAATCCACAAATGAATCAGCCAGGGCAAGCACATTCGATTTTTAAGTGCCATCCCAAATCAAGACCACATAGAAAACATCTAGGATGGTTAAAATATGTGACAGTTGGATACATTGTCAATCTGGTTCTGCAACTCCTCTTGTCTCTCGAAGCATTCAATTTTTGGCCGGTTACAATGTTTGTGAACATGACACACTCAGTACAATTGTGGGCTGATGATGGCTGATGGTTCTTTTTTCTGCTAATTCTCTCTCACGGTGGTTTGCACTAATTTCCTGAAGCACTCTAGCTGCTGCTCTGGCTCTTGTCACGTGAAAACTATCGTGTTCCGGCCTCCATCTCGCAAATCCCAAAGCCGAGAACCAATTGCTCTACAACTTGATGACTTGCGTCAAAACAGGCTGCAAAGGAGAGGCCATCGCGATGTGAGTGCAACAAACACGCGAAAAAATCTGCGGTATCAACAACTCTTCACTTTCATGGTGGGTCACAAGTGAGTCACACATCATCTTGGGGCTCAAGTTCTTAGAACTTGCGGTGATGGCCTCAAACCTACTAGCGATGGCCTCCAATCTACTAGCGACTGTGAAATGAGACGGATTGGATGTGTCCTTTGTGTACACATACCTTTGGATCCATAGACACTTAACTCCAAACATGCTGCTGGCGCGTTGCCTTTTTGGTAGCTAGTGCAGCTAGTGCTAAGAAAACTCAGAGAAGGATCGACACATCTTCAACGAATCCGTGCATAGCAGTGTTAGCTGGTCTGATTTGGTCAAAAATGTCTTGCTTTGTGTCTTGATTGTCTTGTCGATCCCCTCCATCCTACGGCGGTCCCATCAAAGCTTCAGCTTCAGATGGACTGGAGCGGATACGAAAGTCGGGGAGTTTCGCACCAAAAAAGACCTAGTAACGAGGACGCTACGAACGTAGCTCCTGGCATACTAGTAGCAAGAAGCGACTATAGGTCTGCCTAGGTACTTTGTTGCTTTTTATGGATAACATGTCTTCAGCGCTCAATACGAACAAACGCTATCAAGCCATCCCTAGACCCCGCAGCAAGCTGTCGGAGACCATCATTGGCAATAATCGGTCGTCCTTTCCATGTGAAAACACGTGATTAACATTGAGAGGTCTTCAATGCTCTACTTTGGACCAGTGCAGAACGCCTGTTCGGCGTACGCTGGCCCGTGACCCCCCAAAGCAAGCCAGTAGCGATGCCCTTTGCTGGTGCAAAAAGAGAAAATATAAGAAACGTCAACACGCTCGAATTGAAGGGTCACGCACGCCGAATCCTTGCAAACCAATCGCGAAGTTTGCGCAGAGAAATCATCGAAGAATCAGCAGGAGCCCTACCCTCACGTTCGTCTACCCATTGATGGGCCTGTGACGAGTTGCGGGTGACAAAAACTGCAAACACAAGAGGCAGCTGCCAACTCAAGGCAATAAAACTCTACATATTGGTCAGCCTGAGCTTGTTCTGCCCTACCAACAACATCCGACAACCAACTCATACACTGAACTGGAAAGCATGGGAAAACCCCTCTGCGCCTGGCCACCGAAAGCATCTGCACCTCATCGAAGCATGTCGACGCCGAAAGGCGGGCAATCGGGGTGCGGCCACCAAAGAGTAAGCACTTAAGGAATGAACAATAACAAACAAATCCAGGGTAGCAGGCAAATAATATGTCTAATATGGTTAACCATATTTAACTACAAATTCAGGCCCAACTTCAGGTCTTCCTTGTGGACTCATGAGAAGGACCTGGTCCGGAGAATTGGGCGGATCTGTGATCCGCTGATCCGCTGTGCTGAACTCGTTGCGTGTCAACGACTGGAGATGTGCTGGAAACCTTGATGAATTGAAGGCTCGAACAAAGCTCTTAACCAACATATAAAGAGAGGCCATATTGCTATTAGGTTGGAGGCCATCGCCATTGGGCTGCAGGCCATCGCCATTGGGTTGGAGGCCATCGCTAGTAGGTTGGAGGCCATCGCTAGTAGGTTGGAGGCCATCGTTATTAATCTGGAGGCCATTGCCATTAGGTTGGAGGCCATCGCGATTAGGTCGGAGGCCATCACTAGTCGGTTGGAGGCCATCGCTATTAGGTTGGAGGCCATCGCCATTGGGTTGGAGGCCATCGCCATTAGGTTGGAGGCCATCGCTAGTCATCGCCATTAGGTTGGAGGCCATCGTCATTAGGTTGGAGGCCATCGCTGGAGGCCATCGCTATTTGGTTGGAGGCCATTGCCATTAGGTTGGAGGCCATCGCTAGTAGGTTGGAGGCCATCGCCATTAATAGGTTGGAGGCCATCGCTATTGGGTTGGAGGTCATCGCCATTAGGTTGGAGGCCATGGCTGTTAGGTTGGAGGCCATGGCTGTTAGGTTGGAGGCCATCGCTACTAGGTTGGAGGCCATCGCCATTAATAGGTTGGAGGCCATCGCTGTTGGGTTGGAGGCCATCTCTATCAAGATGGAAGAAAGGTTTACAGCCAACGAAACCGTTGTGACACGCGTCACATGGATCACATCCCACGAGCTTCGAAATGCGAGACACGAACGAAGTGCCCCTCAGACAGTGTCGATGTCGCATAAAAACAACACCGTTAAGGCATCGTTTCAAAGCGATTTATTGTGATGTCAGTGATTTTGTGAGAAACTCATCACTAACACTCATCCTGTATGTCCCTAATTTCACTGGATTCAAGGCAACTTTGGAAGCTAACCTGCCGTGTGTGGCTTTTCGCGGTTGAAGCAACAGGCTGATCCCCCGAAAGAGGCCCATGCCTTCTGTGATGCTATTGAAAATCTGCTCCAGGGTCGCTTGCGATAGCGTGTACCTCCAAGGTCGCGTAAACACGCGACATGGGAAGAAAGAACGGACCAACGAGAGAAAGCATGAAATAGATCGTTCGCATGTTGCAACATGTCATGTTTATATCAAGCTGAACTTGCTGCCGAGCACTGCAGCGTCACAAGTCAGAGATATATCAAGCTGAACCAATCCACCGAAGCAGGTGTCCACCTCGCTACGAACGGAGCAAAGACGCTACGGAGCAAGGCCTCCTGGAGCTTACTACTAGTCACAAGAAGCTACGAACGGAGCAAAGGGCATCGGACCCCGAACGGAGCGATCGGACGCCAACGGCCCGAAGACATGACTCCGAAGGCCCCGCAGCTCGTCGGGTCTCACTCGGCGACTCCGAAGCTCTCGGCGTGGTCCTCCGAAGCTCGTGGCGGGATGAAGCTTCGTGACTGACGGACCAGTCGTGGACCAAACAGTTGGGATGGGATGAAGTGGACCAACCCAGCATACCTTTGGTGCACTCCAGCCGATGTCCCACAGCGTATGGATGTCTAGCCAGGATTATGCAGCGGATAGCGGTTCCAAACGATAGCGGTTCACTCCGTCCAGAAGGTTGCAAAGTGCAAACACGGGAAATACAGCCCCTTTAATGCCCTACAATCCCTCGGATTGTGAGTCGACCATCGCTACCACAAGCTAGAAACAACGTCCTCCAGCTGTTGGAAGAGCTGTGGTAAGCTTAAGCCACTTCGTGGCAAGCGAAACCTTGGCCAGGTGGAAAGGTGTGGCGTGGCCTCTTTGCATCATGCTTACTATACTAAGAACAAGGACGCTACTAGGAACAAAGGGCATCGCTACTAGGAGCAAAGACGCTGCTAGGGCATCGCTACAGAGTTAGCATGTGAATTGGAATATCGTCTGACAAAGAACCAAACAGGCAGAGACCAATTAAAGGTTCCCATTGAGGTTGCGCAAACAGCCAAAACGAAACATGTATACAATACACCCAATATGGTGGAGGCAGCCATCGCTAGTAGGTTGGAGGCCATCGCTTCGCCATTGATATTGGGATCGTTTTGCTTATTTAAAAACTGAACACCCAAACAAACGCCCGCTTGCCCGAGGCCTCCAGTAGATGCCAAAGTCCTCCGCCAACTCAACATGATCACCTGGCTAAAATCGGCGATGGAGTCGAAAGTCTATCAAGTCGATCATTCTACTAGTAACAAGTGCATCGCTTCTAGTAACAAGTGCCTTACTAGTAGTAACAAGAAGCTATTAGTCAATTTAGAATTTAATTCCAATTTAATTCTAATAGCTTCTTGTTACTGCTAGTAAGGCACTTGTTACTACTAGTAAGGCACTTGCTACTACTAGT